TTCCACAAGATTCCCTATGTATCACCCAATGTTTGTCTGTGAGTCTTGACATTTATTTTGAGGCACTGTTGTTTAGTGCCTCTCAGAGGACAACTCTGACAAGCTCCTATCTGCATATTTAGCAGAGCATTGTTCATAGTGTCAGTGGTTGGCACTCTCCTATGGTGTAAAGGGAAAATAACATCCTGCACAGACACCCCTGCCAGGATTTTGCACCCCAGGCTTATCTCTACAAGGAAGAGAAAACAACAGTGCTACTACAAACCAGACAGAAATAAAATATTTACTTCATTCTCTAGAAGAACTAGAACTGCATCTCCCATGGGTCTGCTGGGGACTTGACAGCTGCCATTGTCCCGATACACCACCTGGATGGAGACTTCCCAGACAAGCTTAATCAGGTGATAGAATCTACAGCTGGCAACCTTGAATCCCTCCAGTGACAAATAACCTCTCTGGCTGGGGTCATGCTCTAAAATAGGAGCACACTAGAGCTAATAACTGCTAAACACGGAGGATGCCCACGCACAGCATTGGGGGAATGTGTCCATAAGTCAAGTGCTGTTTCAGACTGATGTTAACACCCTCAAAAACACTCTCAGGGCTCGCTCCCAAAATTTCAACCCACCGAGCAGTTAAGTTGGTTCAATAATCCCTTGTTTTCCTGCCCCCACTCCTTATCAGCCCTCTTATTATGCTGTTTTATTTTGATGATTGCACCATGACTCTTCCAATTTTTAAGATGGCCGATAAGCAGCATTGCAAAAATCACTCCCAGTCAGGTTATGGTTCAGCACCAAACTGTTCACAATGTAGAAGGTGATAATTATGATGACAACTCTCCTTTAGAAAAAAAAAAAAAAAAAAAAGGAGTTGTGGGACACATAGACTGTGCAAGCAAGGAAACCAGCATGCAGCTGGAGCTGCATGAAAGGTGTCCAAATCCAGAAAATCTTAATCTTGAGAGCTCCAGGCGTAAGGCCCGCTTCCTCCCTGTTCTCTGTCTGCATGTCCTGGCCCACATAGCTCTGAGACCCCAACCTCATAATTCTTGATTTGTCAGGTAGCATACCACTTAAAATTCCTCCCCATGCAAATAAAGCATCCACAGAATCTCAGTCCTAGCCAATAATGTACCCCACCCCAAAACTCCCTTCCCAATTCCCAAGGTTCATATAGCCCTGCTCACTCCAAATAAAGTGTACAAGCTGTTTCACTGAGTATTGACTAAGAGGGCTTTTTCACTGAATGTCATCTAAGAGGGCTGTAACACTAAAATCCTAATGAAAGGCCTTCTCCCCAAAGGTACTCCCAGAGGACAGGAATCCTGCAGACTCAGCAGTTCCAGTTCTGTTTCTTCCTTCCAATCCTGGTGTGCAGTGGTGCCTGGATACCCTTAACCCCTAGGGAAGAAGTAGAGCATGGGACCACACATATAGATGACTCAATGTACATTATGCTATATTATTAAAGATAAATGTAAAAAAAGTATTACATCTCATTTAGAACTAAAATGTATTTCAATGAGTCCGTATCTATTTACTAACAATATGTGGTTATATACACACACACACACTTAAATATATAATAAGATAATATTGTAGTGGTTAACAAGTCTTTATGTTAAACAGACAGAAGGCAAAAAAGCATAAAGATATTAAGTAGCAAAAATATGAAGTAACAGTAATTGCTATAGTTATTTTTCTGTTGCCATTATGATACAGCAAGTCAACTCATAAAGGAAAGTATTTATTTTGGGACCCATAGTTTCTGAGGATTAGAATTTATGGCCATCATGGTAAGAAGCCTGACAACAGGTAGGCAGGTTGACATGCCACTAGAGCAGCAGTTGAGAGTTTACATGTAATCCTCAAGCATGAGGCACACAAAGAGCTAACTGGGAAGAGTACTGGATTTGAAACCTCAAAGACCACCTCAAGTGAGATTCATGCTCCAAGAAGGACACACATTTAAATTCTTCCCAAACAGTTCCACCAACTTGGAGCCAAGCATTCAAAAGATGAGACTGAAGGGAACATTTCTCATTTAAATTACAACTTTCCAGTCCTGGGACCCCATAAGTTTATAGATCTATCACAATGAAAAATGCATTAAGCCCAAATTGAAAAGTCCTCATAGTCTTTCACAGTACCAACAACATTTAAAAGTTCAAAGTCTCTTCTGAGGCTCAAGACAATCTCTTAATTGAAACCCCTTGTTAAATCAAAAAGCTAAGTACATATTTTCAACCCACAAAGTCACAGAGCGTATATTACCATTCTAAAAGGGAGACACTGAGTCATAGTAAGGAAATACTGGGCAAAACCAAAATCAAAATCCAGCAGGGCAAATTCCAAATCCGGCAGCTCCATGTCTTGGTGTCAACAGGTGAATGTCTCTGCACTTTCAGCTTTGTCGCTGCAACACACGCATCTCTATTGGGTTGGTTTTATTCCTTTTATGCAGCTCTCCTTGGCAGGTATCCCACAGTTCTGGCATTTCCAACATTTTGGGGCCTCCAGAGAAATCTAATCTTCATTTTCATAGCTTCACACAGTCGGCTCTACAAGCTTCTCTGCAGGACTCCTCTGCCACATGCCTGACCTCAGTGGCATTCCTTAACCTCAGAGGAAGACTTCACAACCACTTTGCTCCTGCATCATTCTTGACTCAAAGGCCAGAACCACATGACTGATGCTGCTAAGTTCTGCTATCTGCTCAGTACAGAACCTGGCCTCTTCCTTGAATTACATTTGCATAAGCTCTGACTTATTGCTTTCATTTGTCGAGTAAGTTTTCATTTGTTTTAAGAGAGTCTTTATGCATTCCTTTTTACAACTTGGAAGTTTAGCTGGGTAAGATCTTACTTTGAAGATGCACACCCTTTATTCCATTTCACATCCTCTTTTTGAGCACAAGACTTAGCTCCAAAATTAAATTTCCTGGTCATCTATTTCTCTTAAATTGTACATTTTGAATTTCTTTTTGCCCTGCTTACTGTTTTTTGTTGTAAACCTAATATTTTTTTTGCCAATAAAATTAGTCAGAAACTTTTCAGTTAACCTCAGGCATATTCTTAGGACAAAGGCAAAACACAGCCACATTCTTTGCAAAATACCATTCCCTAGGCCAGTTGCTATGATCATTCTCCTCTGAAACCTTTTGAGCTGGGTGTCCACAGGCTACAGTGCTCTCAGCATTACTGTCACCCAAGTCCCCACTACAATGGCCTGTTAAGCCCAAGTGCCTCCCTAGACCAAATTTTTGTAGTCTTCCACATTCCCCAGAAAAGCAGCATGGTCAGGCCTGTCACAGCAACAGTGCCCTCACCGGTACCAGCTTCTGTTTCAGTTACATTTCTATTGCTGTGATGAGAAACCATGAGGAAGTCAATGTATAAAAGAAAGTATTTAATTGGGAAGATCACAGTCACAGAGAGAGAGCATGAGCACCATACAGGAAGTGTGGCAGCCCTCAGGCAGGCAGGGCACTAGAGCAGTAGTTGAGAGATTATGTCTATTCCATAGTCATGGGGTATGGGTGGGGCACTGGGAATGGCCTTGGCATTTGAAAGTTCAAAGACGATCCCTAGTGCCACACCTCCTCAAGGCCACAAGACCTCACCTCCTAACCCTGCTCAAACAATTTCACCAATTATGGGTAGGCATTCAAATATATGAGCCTACTCATTCAACTCACAAGAGTAATATCCAGTGTGAAATCTCTTTGTAATAGCAGTACATTGCACACAGGAGTTTTTGCCACAAGCAGAACAGTGAATGATTTATAGGTTAGTTTGTTCAACTATAACAAACATTTATCAAATGTGCATCAAGTATCATGTTACACGCTTTCAATTTTCACTCTAAAATTTAGTTTCAAACAAAAATATGGACAGCATATTTACCTCTGAAGTAACATGTTTTGACTAGAGAGGAAATGCAAATTAAAAGATGTAAGAGAGTGTTTGTGCCTTGATTTGGTTCTAAGTCATGTAGCCACATTAACTTGAGAAAATAATTTTTTTATTTGTTTTCTTTAATCTGTTCATATTGTGCTCTTTTAATTGTACTGCAATTGAAATTATACACTACAGCTTTAAAGTTGAAACACTATTTTATAAAAATGTTACTAAAATATGCATAATTCAAATAAATTCTGTGAGATTCTGGGCATGGTGTGCATTGGAAACAAGTTTGAGTTCAAGGAGCCTTGTCTAGAGGATCTCATTGTAAACTTATCATAAGGGTTTGACAGTTAAGAGATGGGAATCATGACAGAGACTAGAGAGAAAAAAAAGAAGACTTGAGTATAAAATTCTAAACAAGGAATTCTGGAAGGAACCACAAAGATCAGTCTGCCTCCACCTTCAGGTGCCTATGCATGTTGATGTTTCTTATTACAAAACCTGACCACCCCTTTTAATGTGAAAATGGAAGATACAGTGAAGTTCAAGGTGAGAACTACACCAACCAAACAGAGATTTAACAGACTTCTCTTCAGAATGTTTCTTTTCTTACAAAGCAATTTGTATAAGAAAGACTATTGCTCCATAAATTCTTTAAAACCTACAGAAATTAATAAGGGCTGGGATTATAAAATGCATTTATTTAAACCTTCAAATATTGAGAAAAAGGTTGTTTTTAAAAGTAATTGTTTTTTTGCAAAATATAACATGGATTTATTTAATCACTATCAAGTGACCAAAAAATGCTTCTCTTCCCTGCACTTCCTTGAGCCCTCCACTGAAGGAGAGATTTGTCAATAGTGTTCAACATCTCTCCTGGACCCCAGAGAGTTTACAAGGAGTCCCATCAAAAGTAGATGGTGAAGCCCTGAGCAAAACAGCCCCCAGAAATGCTACAGTCAATGTAACAGGTCTGCTATCAATCAACCTCTGCAAGAATAATTATTTTCCAAACTGAATAAATGCTGGGTCATCAACTAAACAGGATTATGAAAATGCCACAAACTGATAAGGACAAAGCTGTTTCTCAAAGTTATTTCTGCTTGATCAAAGCAGCCCTCAGTCCCTGCCAGACCATTGTCATTTCTCTAGATCTTCCTGAAGGACCCCTCTCTCCACCTTCCTCCTCCTCAGGAGTGTCCTGCATGGCCCTCTGCAGAAGCAGCTTGAGGGACTTGCGCTGGTGCATGCGGTACCTAATAGAGCCAATGAGGAAGTAAATGATGGGGTTGGCACAGCTGTTAACACAGGACAGAAATATAGTCACTGCAAAAAACTTACAAGGCCCACCATTATCACAAGTGTCAAGCCATGTTAAAAGGAACCAGTAGATCCCATACGGCAGCCCAAATAGTAGGAAGACCAGCACTGTGGACACAATGACTACATATAGCCTAGTCACAGGAATCCTGTGTGAGCCCCAAAATACAGTAACCACTAAGGTCAGACTAGACCCCAAGAAAACCACAAATAGAGCAATTAACCATGCAGTAGCGATGAAATCAAGTATATGACACCAACCAGCGCTATCAATATTAAATAGGAGGCCACATTCCTTTCCTTCTAGGAGGCTCAACAGCAGGGACAACACCCAAAGCAGGGTACAGATGACAGCTGATGTGTGCCTTGGACGTTGGCAGCGATACCAGATAGGCCGCAGGACAGATAGGCAACGTTCAATGCTAATGGCGCAGAGAATGCTCAGGCTACAAAGATAAGCAAAGTTTAACCCTACAAGAAAAACATAATTGTTGAGGCTGGGGTAGAATATTTCCAAAATAATCTGAAGGCAACATACAATCTGAAAACACATGAAGAGAAAGTCAGCACCAGCCAGGTTGAGAATGTAGACAGAAAAGACATTCTTGTGCACGTGGAAACCCAGGAGCCATAGCACTATGGCATTTCCAACCAGCCCAAATAGGGAAAAGATGAGGGAAAGAAAAATCATGGTGCAATATATGATCTCAGAAAATGAAATTCCAGTGTGGTTGCTTCCATTCACTGTTATGTTAGTCCTCCAGTCTGAGACATTTGAATCCACTCTTAGGAGCTCTCCACTAGTGTCCCTGGAAAGAAAAACACATGAATGAGCACTAGCTAAACTGTCTTATTCTTGCTATGTGTGAATGACTGACCTGGTTCATAGGAGAAGCAGTGGGATTATAGAGACAGAGTAAAATTTAAAAACAGTATCTATGAAGCCTTAATTTAAACCCAGTTTGTATTTATTTGGGCTACCTAAAACCCATGTCCTGTGCTGATATGAGAGTACTTGATGGCCACAGTATAGACACTCAATGTCTCAGACTGTATCAGAAAGAAAAAAGCTCTAAACCCAACTTTAATTCTGTCCTAACATCACTTCTTCTCCGATGCAGGAACTTGGAAGGCAGAAGCATGACCAACAGTGTCTCAGTCCTTACAGGGGCAGGACGCTAACAAATGGAAAACTAAGAAAATCATGAATGGCATTCACGAAGGGAATGTCAAGTCATATCTAAGATATCCTGTATACCAGAAGTTTACATTGATTCATAACAGTAGCAAAATTACATTCATGACAAAGCAATGACAATAATTTTATGCTAGTGTGTCACAACATGAGGAACCGTGTTAAAGGGTCACAGCATTAGGCAGGTTGGGGACCACCAAGATTGAAGAATAGGCATAGGACTATGAGATGAATTGAATTTCTAACACTCTTCAGGAGTTAAAAAGTTACTTTTTGGAAACAGAGAAAGAAAAAAAGAAGAAGAGGCAACAGTGCTAGAGGGTATTGTGACACAGAAACACCTACAGGGCTTGAAGACAGAGATGGTCTCTAACAAGAGGGTAACAGAAACTGTTCGGCCAGCCATGTTAAATTGTTTGTGGACTAACAGAAGAATAGATGCTGGAACAGAAAGAATTCCATGAGTTCAATGACAGTCTGAGCTACATAGTAAGTTCTAGAAAAGCCTGGGCTATGAGTGAAAACAAGCAGCCAGAACAAGGAGTAAAATATGAGAAGTCTGAGAGACTCAATTTAGAGAATAAAACTGTGAGTCGTTTGTGCAAAAGACTGGTCTGCTATGCAGACTAAGGCACAGACAACTAATTCCATGAAATAAAATATGGATTTTCCTTGATCTACAGGAGGTAATGGACATCCCAGCAGAAGGGATGTTCCAAATGTAGATGACAAGAAAAGAACCCATACACATAAAACTTTAGTGACAAGTCTCAGGTGTAGATGACACATAAATAATGCTAAAGGAGGCAGCGGCATGTGCCACTTTACTTGCAAAATAAAACCTGTAAGAAAAACAACAGATTCCTATGCAAACATATAAAACTGGGAGACCATGGAAAATATGTTCCACCTCCTAAGAACAAACAACTGCCAGTCAAGCGGCACCCTCTTCCTGGCATGAAACATTAAGCACTTTTCTCTTGGCTGTTGTTATATCACAAACAAAACCAAAAGTGATGAATATGGGAAAGGGTCTAGGATGAATGGAGGAAGAAGTTGAAAGGGATGAGATGTTGGTAAGAGAGGGGAGAATAATCAGAGTATATTGTGAAAGAAATCAAATTATAAAATAAGAAAATTAATCAATAAAGCAATTAATCAATAAAAGTGGTTGTATGCCTGGGGCAGCGCAAGCACACCTACGCCCACAGTAACACCCAGATCCTTGTTCAGATGACTGCTGCTTCACGACTGACACAAAGCTCCACGCTCCACGTACTCTTCTTGGCTGGAGTTGGTTTTAACATGCTGTGTAACTTTCCCTAAATATGTACATTACTGACAAATTATACTTAACTATGTTCTTCTAGGTCACTCATTTTTCACCATCTGTTTCCTTCTGAGAAAGAAATACAGTGGAATGGAGACCTTCCACCACAGAAGACACAGGTGACCCTGTTATCGGCAGATCTGTGCTTTTGTAGAGGCTACTTGTGCACATATGCTTGCCAAGTCAAGAAAAGGGGCAGAATTCTCACACTAGCGGAACGTTTGGATAGTTGAGCTGAAAGCAGAATGGGGAGAAAAGTGGCCAGTGCCTTGATTAATAAGATTCTAATCTCCCATAGTTAGGTCTGCCTTCCCACACAGCTAAGGAATGACTTTTGCTTCTCCTGTGTCTTCCAGATTATGCAAGACTTCTTGGAATTTCTACCTCAAGGTGTAGTTATATGGCCACAGACTAAGAAAAAGAGATAACAACTTTGGGAAAAGGGTCTCAAAAGCATCTTACCTTTCCTCCATTTTTCTTGTGGGAGACTGGTCTGTGGCAAAGTGAAGACTCCCCTGAATCCGCTGTCCATATGAAACACATCTGTAGTGTGAAGACTGAATTGTCACTGGTGAAGGCTCATCAGAATGGCATAAAGACCTGTGGTTTCCTGTACTTGGATCTGCTGGCATGAGTGTCACCGCTTTGAGTCATGCTCTTCACGAGACTATCCTTGACAGCTGGCATGCTTTTTCTCTCTCACCCTGTGGCTATGATAACTACTCTGCCTTTCCTTCTCTGTTAGTTGCAGTTGAAACAAGATCCTACTTATTAAGCTAGTCTGGGTAACCATCTTTCCTCGGAGACTCCCAAGTACTGGGATTGCAAGCAAGCCACAAACCAGCATCAGTGTAATAGGAATTTGAACCCAGATTCTCACAATTGCAGGATAAATGCTTTAACTACTGAGCCATCTCTCAGGACTACTGAGGGACATTTTATAAAGGAGAAATCCCACTTGACCTTCCCAATTTTTTTTAATATAAATGACTTTTTTCTTTTCTTTTATTTCTTTTCTTTTCTCTTTCTTTCTTTCTTTCTTTCTTTCTTTCTTTCTTTCTTTCTTTCT